TTCGAGGCCCGAAAGGAGGCCTCCCCAAAACCCTCCTGCCGTGGGGTCTGGCCCGCGAAACACGGCAAAATTTGACCACTTTTGGGCTTTCCTTGCCCCCACACCCCCTTAGTACAGATCAGCAAAGCTGGACCTGGACGAAAGCTAGAGGAAGCTTTCGTAATAATGATAGCATTCGATTTTATAGAAATACAGCTACGATGAATAATCCTGACAATACCAATTAGCGACTCTTGGTAGCCTCCTGCAGGCAGCCAAAAGGAACATGTTGTCAATCACCAGAAGCTCTACTACGAGTATTTAGCGTTTATGCATGCAACAGAAACGAGCAAATGGCGGAGCTTGTCCTGCTTCACCAATGCTTCCTGTTTCACTTCCGCCTTCATTTGCGCAAGGGCGAGCGGGTTACCGAAGTGACCCGGGCCGCGGCCCTCACGCTTAATCTCCTGCTTGATGTTCTCTACCTGGGCATCAGTAGTTGTGTCGCTCATAAACTCTGTAAAGAAAGTTTGTAGCAATTGCAGCCGCACTTGTGATATCCTCAATTAAGTTTTTTACTTCCAAATATCATGTTTGCTTCCGATGGGTTTTGGACGTCTCAGGCTGGAGTTGAAGCATGCTATGGCAGCTGCTGACTATTGCTTCCAAAGCCACATTGATGGTTTCTGAGATCTCCAGAATGTCCTTCACAGGAGGCGACCCGCGGCATAACTCATGTTACTTACTATGCTAGGTGATGTCATGCGGATCACGCGTTCCTGGGCAGTCAACGTGCTTCAGGACGCTTCAGTTCTCAACCTGTAAAGTTCGCAAGACTGTCGTGCCTTGCCCTAGACACGCCCGGAACACAAAAAGTCGCGAATACGGTCCACAGGTCTATATTGGTCTGTTGAAATAATGGGTGACTCTTCAGGTCTCAGAGTTAGGTCGGAAGCCACCCTCCGAGAAAAACAGAAACTTGCATTGCTGGAACTCCCTGCCATCGTAAGACCAAAGATTGCGCCTAGCCTTGTGTATCAAAACCGTGCTGGCAGCAAGGGTGCATCTTCACTAACCACACAGACTTTTCTTTTCGACCCAGAGGACAGACGCACCAAGAGCACAAGTCTGCCTTTCAGAGCCCAACACGCAAAGACGGTTTGTACAAAACCCCGTGATCTGTTGCTCACATTGGCCCTGCACAGCCGGGTTTGCCTACGGAGTACTGCCATCAATACGATTCTGGAATTAGTCTTACGATTTCTTGTAAAAGGGAATGATCTGTTGTTCATGTACAGATTCAGGCTCCAGGTCTTCTGCTTGGGGTGCTCCACAAAGGGATTGGTGGGATGCAGGAAGATCTGAGTGCAAGTGCTGCAGCATTGCTCCGCCATATCCCAAGCGGCAGAACACTGTTTCTGAATCGGCAGCCAGTCGGCATATATACTATTATCATTTTCATTCGTCTATTGTTAGTGCTCCTAGTATGACTACTATTGTTTTTCTATTGCCACGAATATTACTATGATATATACTACATGTATATCTCAGACTCAAACCTCCCAGAACATGTTTCAATGACCTTGGAGACAACCCATGACGCCTGGTTTACGGATCTCAAGATTCCCTAGTCCTGTGAGAGCTTCCGCGCCAGGTCGCGGACAGAATCCTCTACCTGCCGTGCTCCAGATTCTGAGATAACCCCTAAACCCTAAACCATGGGCGTTTCTCAATCTGGAAACCCCCCGGGACTCCAAGGGACATACAGGGGCTAGAAGAGGATTATGGGGGTCCCACTCAGCAGGATGGAGTGTAGGCGTTTTGGGGTTAGGGAGTAGTTATGAGTTCAGGGTTTGTCGATAGGGTTTTAACTTCGCTTCTGGGAAGAAGTAGCAAAGATACACAAAAACAAATTGGGCGTACTTTTTGTTTTTTATGTTTGTAGTTGGTGTCTTTGCTTTTGTAGTTGCTCACCTGTGAACATCCCGTTAAACCTGAAAGCCTGCTTTTCTTCTCGGTAGCAGGATAGGAAGCACAGGATACTAAATGCCAAGACAGGGGCTTCAGGTAATGCATACCATGTCTAAACAAGTAGTTTGAGATTGCACACCTGACCCTGAACCCATATAATCCCTATACGCCCTCACATAGTCCGCGTATCCCTCTTCAAAAGGAGCCGAGGCCCCTACAGTGCGCTCATACAGTACTGTAAGCTTCCTGTCACGGTCACACCTCCTTCTTCTTCCGCGCGGCAGCTTTCCTGGGCTCTTTCAGAGGTCTTGCGACGTGTTCTGCGCTGGTCACTCACAAAAAGACAACAGGCCTATGGAGCAGCACGCGCTAGATCCACTGTCCAAACTCAGCCACCAGTGAGTTTGGGAATTGGGGGGCAGGAGTGCTACCGCTTTAGAGAGCTTCTATTCTGTTGTTGGCGCTCATAGGCCTACCCCATGCCCTCAACCACTGTTCTCAGGGAGGCCTGCTACATTGCCAAAATACCCCATGAAGAAGCAAAGCCAACAAACCCAAAAGTCTACATGCCCCAAACCCTAGATCCGAAACCCTCGAGCCTTAACCCTATAAGCCCCAAAATCCCACGTAGATCACAACCCCCATGGCCCCAGTTCGTTTCAGCTATAGTCTAAACTCTTGGTCCTAATATCCCCTTAATAATCCCTATAGTAGTGCCATATATAGCATCCTATAGGCTGCAATCTACATCAAAGCCGAGACGCGAGTGTACTTGCTGGACCTTCTGCGCCTCGCGCTCACGAAGCTCCTCCAATCGTCTGGCCTTGGCCTCACCAGAAATCTCAGCGTGTCGGGCTTCATGCAGGGGCCCATTGCATTAATTTGGGCCCAATAGTGGTAGTAGAGTAGAAATAGTATTCGTAATAATATTAGGAATAATTGGAGGATTGTAGTCATAAGGGAAAATCTTGCATTTAGTAATTTAGTATAGTGGAAAAATTGAAGCTACTGCAGTATAATGGGGTATATATTGAGGTTCTATTAGGGTTATATAGGTTCGTGTTAAATCTTGGCAACTATTGCTTGCAGATTCTGCTGAAGATCGGAGGCCTTCACAGGGCAAGGTTCAAGGTCTCCGGGGGCTGGGTGGTGCGGCACTTAGAAAACCGCATCCCAATCAGAGTAGTTCCATTCGCTGACTATGCAGTCAAGATCTCACTTCGCAAATGCGAAAAGTGATGCAGTCTCTGGCAGACATGAAGCTTCTCGGATCAAGGAACGAAGGATCAATGAATATCTTCCAACCTGTTTTTGGAGTATCTGTATGGAAAAAGAGAGGACATCACTACCAAACGACCAGCCGTCTGCATGGGTTTGGGTGCCTGCACGTGGGTTACCATTCGTTTGCTTGCAGGAATTCATGTTGCCACGCTGGTTGCCTCAAAGCAAGCTTTTGCTGCATGTATTGGGTGCTCCACTGTGACCCTTGTGGTGAAGAGACTTCTCTGTTGGAATCTGCACTAGGTGCTGATGCATGGCTCTTTAAAAGTCTGATATCTCAAAAAAATCGGTGTTCACTTTTGCAAGGTCTTCTTGTGAGCCCTATCCTGCCTTCTCCAAAGCTATCTTGCGCTCGAGCTCGCTGGCCTGAGGATCAATCCATGGGTTCTTTGTAAAGGCCTAGGCAAGTGTGCATGGGGAAGTAAATCCTTTTACTGTCACCTTGCCTCCTCCTACTCCCCCTGCCCCTCCTCCTCCTCCTGCTCCTCCTGCATGCCCTACTTTTGCTCCCTCCTGCTCCTGCTTCCGCCAATCAAAACTCAAGTAATCAGTCTGATGACCGTTGCAAACTGACATAAACTCCGAGCGTCGCGAAGAAAGCAGGTTCATCACTGGATCCCATGAGCATGCGCCCAGAGCCGTAGCGGTCAAGGTGCACATCACTCATGTAAAATCCAATCCTACAGGCAGAATAGCACTAGAATTGTCCATCCTCCTCTATTTAGTGATGCAGACAGCTGCAAACATGTGAAGACCTGTCCATTTGTTAAGGGCGGGGGTGCTTGGAATGCTGGGGTTGTCAGCATTCCCACAGAAAGACAAAGCCCAGCTTTCGCCATGACACGCTCGTAGCTTCCTCAGGCTTCTTCTCTGGCTCTTTCTCTTTGCAGATCAAGGGAAGCGCCTGCCAAGACTCCCCAGTGGTCACAGGAAGACAACCTGTGAAGCAATCTCGGAAGGGACAAAAATCTTGAAAACCACTTATGCCGAAGCTCAAAGGCCTTGGAAATCCAATCAGTTGCACTCCAGACAAACTAGCCCAAGACATGACAGACCCCAAATCCTGCGCAAGCAGCTCCACTCGGCCTGCTGTTTTGGCATGGGCTTGCCCTTGGTCTGCCGGATGGGCACTGCCTTCCATGCGGGCCTATTTGCCCATGAACCATGGCCAAAACGGATATGTGCCAACTATTTGATGGTCCTGCTATACTCTGCGGTAAAGTCTACCTAAACCCTAAAACCCTAAACCCGAAACCTAAAGTCTAACTAAGCCCTAAAACCCTAAACCCGAAATCTTACCCCTAGATCAAAACCCTAAATCCTAATGATGACAGTGGTAGGCAGGTAGTCGAGGCCCAGGAGAGGCTCCCAGTAGTGCTTAATATCTATACATATAATCTATCATAATATACTATAATGTACCATAATATACTATAATATATACTGATATACATAATCTACCATAATATACTACAGCATACCATAATTTACTATGATATACTGTAATATACTAGCTTGAAGCAGAACTCCGGGGCTCAAGGTTTGGGCTTCTTCTTAAGTTCATGCTTCTCTAGCTGGAAACCATCCATCAAACTTTGGAATGCGCATGGACAACAACAAAACTAAGGTCGGAACAACGGGCCCTTACCATGGGCCTTGGGCCTTTATCCTGGGGCATTCATTGTGATACACCTGGTGAAGCCCTGCAAGCCCAATTTCGGGCCCATAGTTCGGACTCAGAAAAAGAAAAGACGTAGGGGCCCATAATAGAGGCCCATGATTCCATCCTGGGAATAGAGATTGTATTTTATTGCTCTTACGGCCTTGTGGAAAGCTTTTGTTCTGAATTAAGGTCGCTGAATGGCAAAACTGCTGCCTCCTCCTTTTTGTCTTTCTTCTTGTCCCGGTCCTTGTCTTTGTCCTTCTTTTTGTCCTGCTCAGGGTTTCCTTGAAGGCCGAAGACTGGCTGTCTGCAATCCTCTGAAAGCCGATGACTGAAGCTTCAAAGTCTCTGCAACGTTGACATGAGGGCAAACAAACACGATGCATTAGCAAGAATACTCCTTGCAAGGGCTTGCGGACTGTTTCATGCTTTGTCATGAAGGTCCTAGACTTGAATGATCATGAAACAAGAGTGGAAGTGAAGCCTGGCTCCTTGCATCGACCTATTATTCAACTACAACATATGCAGCTTTCCTACGTCTTGATGTCCTTATTCTAATATGTTTGTCCTGGAGTCGGCGCCTATGCTCCTCAAAACTGGGTGCAGAAAAGTTCGTTTAAAAGTAATCCTATAGCGTTGCAGTAGAAGAACCCAGATCCGGGTCAGGACCCCAGGGGAACACATGCTTGAGTTCTTACCATCCTGGTGGGTTAGCTTGTCAAGGGTAATTCCAACTCCTTTCCATCTCCACTAGTCTCGAGGATCTCGAGACAAACACATATGCACCTTGCTCCTGACTCCGTGTGGGGCTGTAATACCAGCCTGTATGGGAAGCTCATTAAGGGCTACGCATCGCCAACCACTTTTTACACATGTCTCTGGGCTATCATGCCTGAGGACTCAGAGTGTTGATGCTCAACATCTGCCTGATGCTAAGTTTAGTACCTCATGTCCTGGGACTTGCAGTTTAGTAAGGTCAGAGAATAGTATTCACCATAGCTTGTCCCTATGCCGTAAGTCTGGGCCTTCTTGCTCTTCTTGCCCGTGGGCGACGGAGAGCGGGGGGCAGGCGGCGCTTTTGGCTCCGGCTTCAGGATCTGGGACAAGACGGGTCGCTTGCCCGCCTCTTTCCTTGGAGACAGCTTGGAGACCTTTTCACTTTGGACTGAGGATGGAAAAGCCCAAAGAAATGCTGAGAAGATGCAAAACTAATGAAGAACCAGGAGGGATATGATGAAGAGCATTCTTTTGACGGCAAGTAGCCACATAGATTCGGATTGAAGCAAGGTTTTTGTTGTAGGGCTCTGGTGTAACACGGTTCTCGCTACAATCTGGCCAGCACAACTATCGTAGGTACCAGTCTTCGGCGAGCACACAGTCTGCTATCAAGGCGTCAAGGCCATGGTGGAGGAGGATTGTATGTGTACACCTATCTGTGAGTACGCCCCCTAGGGGAAGCCGAAATTTGTTGAACCCACAAAAGGTTAGCCGAAGGTAGCCGAACCCCAGAGGGTTCACCGAACCCCAAACTGGGTTCTGCGAACGGGTTCTACTATAACACCCCGAAGGGATCTACAAACCCCGCGAAGGTTCCGCGAACCCCCGGCAGCGTTCCGCGAACGCTGGTGGTAGGGCTCTGAGGTGAACCCCCAGTGATGTGTACACGTATGTTTTGGCCTGAATGGAAGATTATCCAGAGGCCACTGCAAAGCAAGGATACAAGTACTGTATGAGCTACAGTCTACACTCCTAGTATCCCCCATAAATATCCCCTATAATAGTCCTCTATATCATCCCCTTGAAGGAGCTTAGACTATAGCTCCTATGGGGTCAGCGAGCCCTCCTCATCATCCTTGCAAGACAAACCAAATACCCTGAACCGCCTACAAGCTCTTCCGCAAACTTCATGTGCTCCTAGCCTTTAAATACGAACCTCCAGATTTGATCTCATGTCCCATTTGAACCATAGTCTAAACTCCTAGTATCCCCCTTGATAACCCCTACAATACTCCCCTGCGTAACCCCCCTTAAGGAGTTTGGACTATAGCTCGTTTTATGTCCATTCCCTCTCCAATCAAGAACAATATTCTACAATCTCTCCTTCTGGTCATTGTTGCTACAGCAGTACAGATCAAAATGATGTCTTGTAAAGGATGACTACCTAGTCTAGGTTCCCCGGCAGCCCCTTAAGAAGAAGAGCACGCTTTTCCTAATGTTCACTTTTAGTAAGGAGACCCCAAAGCAAAAAGGAAAAAGGGTACTACTGGGATCTACTGGGGTACCTGGAATAAAAAAAATAGTATAGTAATACTAATAAGAGTAGAAAAAAATAATGGCAGCAATTATAGTAACAGAAATGGTAGTACTGGTAGTGGTAGCAGCAGTAGTAGTAGCAGCAGTAGCAGTAGCAGTAGCAGTAGCAGTAGCAGTAGTAGTAGTAGTAGTAGTAGTAATAGTAGTAGCAGTAGTAGTAGCAGTAGTAATAATTTCGCGCCAAGCATCTCCCTTGCCATGCGCTCCTTTGCCGCCTGGAGCTTGGCCTTCAGCTCCTCAGAAGCAGACCTTGGACTCGAGGATGCTTTTTCACAGTACATGATAGTATATTATTATCGTCTATTCCAATATATTATTGTGGTGTATTATAGTATATCATTATAATATATCATGGTATATCATTATAGTATATTATACATAGCTTTCTTTGGACCCTTCCCCTCTGCAGGGTTTTGAGGTCACATGGAGGATCAATAAGGTTTGCAGGTTGTATGGATTCTATCTTTGGACGGCTTGGGGAAGTATAGGTTTATGTATGGCGATCTGGGGACAACAATTTAGCATGCCTCACCTGAAGCCCTTGACAACTTGAAGAACGAGTGAGTAACAGGTTATACATTGCAAAAGTTACCCCTTTTCCGGGTCCCCAGTCAGAATTAAGCAGCACCATGATATTGGGGTCTGTCGCCACCCAATCTGCGAAACTCAAATTAACAACGGACTTGTCAGACTGCCGCCGAAGGGAACGGAACCAAGGAAGGGATGGTAAGGATGAATGGGGGAGCCTCTTAGGGTTTAGGGTGTAGGCACGCGCATCGCACTCAGCAGGCCCGGTTTAGGTTTGAGGGTTTAGGGGGACTGCTCAAGGAATCCAGGGTACTTCTCCAAAGGCTGGCTGTCAAGGCTTTGGAATGCTAAAGCCTCGTTTTGAAATCTCCATACCATGCCCAATTCCAAGACCAAAGCCTATGGGAAATCACTGTGAAGAAAACGCTGGCGCTACATCTTGAATGACATCCACGTCATGTCTACCGAGCCACCAAGAAAAGTTGGCCACTCGCAGCCCAATCTCAGCCTTCAAAGTTTTGCAAACCAAACACAGGCCTGAACTCCAAATCAGGCACCGTGACGCAGTTTCCATAAATGGCAGGCCCCAATTAACACCACAAAATACTCTCATCTTGATACAGTCCCCCTTAAGTAGATAGAATATGGGGTAGATGGGGATCTTATCTTAATATACCCAAATGATCAACTTAAGGGGGACTATGCCTCTAATTTCGGGAAACCATTTCTCCAAGGCGCAGGGAGTGCGAAGGCTCCGCAGAGGCTGATCTCTTCTGCTCGAGCCTGGTTCTTAGGTCCTGTGGCTTCAGTGGGATAGGAATTGAGTAGATAGGGGTTGTATGGGGGTTTAGGGATATCACCCCCAACAGTGGAGAACCAAAGAGAAGGAGAAACTGAGGCTATGTGATAATTTGTAGGCTTCGGCATTGCCAAAATTACTGGTACGCGCATGGGAGTCGCCTATAATCAGCATGACCAATATGACAATATTATGGTTTCTACTTTGGGGTCCCCCTAGCTAGCTGTGACATATGTATTCTATGCGGACACCCACTGATTATCCCTAACTGAAATCCATGGGCCCCAGTACAACAGCCTCCTTTACGAGGAATTGTGGACCACAGGGTAGCTTTCAGCCTGGCAAAATCAACTGCCACGTGCCATAAATCCACTCAGTTCAACATATGGTAGCAGCACCCAAAAAAAACTGGTGCAGCGAGTTGCTACGGAAGTTTTCACCGAAACCTGAAAGCTCATAGCCTGCTTCACGTCTTAAAACTCAAGACGACTCCTCCTTCCTCCTCCACCATTACCACTGCTTCTGCTGCTGCCGCTGCTACTACTACCACTGCTGCTGCTCTTATGATGATGACACCTACGAATACTACTACCACTACCACTGCCACTACTACTGCCACTACGCTGGCGGTGGCGGTGGCGGCGGTGGTGGTGGTGGTGCAAGCACTAGCACTATGACTTCTACTTCTGCTCCAGCTGCCGCTGCTGCAGCTGCTGGTCTCTACCCATCCGCAAAAGCTGACTGTTCTCTTCAAAGTCAAAGCCTTTGGCCCTTCGTCCTTGACGGACGCTTTGGACATGGCCCTGGCGACCTACACAGCTAACAAAATGCTTGCTCAGGCTTCAGGGCTTAGGGTCCAGTAAGAAACTGCAAGCGGACGCCAGTTGCACCAAATTATGCTGGGTGCGGAAAAGAATAACTGCACGTCTTGTTCAACAACATCATACGATTCCTTCCCGCATCCCCTCCATGCCTTTAAATATAATTTGGAAACTTGATGGGTAGACAGGTGCACAAAATCTCGCCCCAGAAGGCTGGTTGGCCCTTCCAACAAGACCAGAATTTCGCCCCAAACAACCCTCTATCTTCACTCTATGTGGGAGTCTTCTCTCTATGTGGGAGTCTTCGAAGCTTGTCTTCAATGATGGCCCAGACAAATCTACTGCGGTTTCGGGCTCGGGGATTAAGGTTTACATGGTTCAGCTTTGTATAATATAGAGCTTGCATTCAGATTCAGTGGCAGCTCTAAGACTAAGACTAGACTAGACTGACAGCCTGTGCAGCCCACCCAAATACCCAAAGTCATCAAAGGAAGTTACTTCAACACTTTACTCCTAAGCCCCCAGCCCCCAAGCTCTACAAAGCCTCACTCTGACGGGCACCTTCTCTTCGGGTTCCAGAGGAGAAGATGCAGTGGCATCTGGTCGACGGGGGTCCACGGGAACTTCCATGAACGAAGCAAGGGAGCCTGGGCACATGAAAGCCCTGTCTGCGCCTTTAATTCCCCGGAGACTATCACGGAAGCCAGCATTGGCCAACCATCAAGCACAACCAGGATGCTGCAGCCCTATAATCAGTACTGACCTCTGTGGTTCAGAAACCTTTGGAAATCTTTGGGACCACCCACTACATCCGCGCATCTGGAAACCTGCTACAGGCTAGTTTCATGCGGCGGGAACCTTTTTGAAGGGCCACGGCATGTTGTTCCCACAAGTTGCATGTTCAAGGATTGAGTGCTTGCTTGGCAAACGAGACTCTCTCTCACTCTCTCTCTCTGTGGAAAAAATTCCACAAATCGTGCAAATGCCGTCAACATCGCACGTAGGACAAGTCCAGTACAAATTGACATGACCCCAGCAGGGGCCTTAACGATGCGCACATATGACAGACACCCTGATACAACCTTACCACCACCGCCAACAGAAAGAACCGCTGCGTCCAAGTTGCCCAGGGCTTCGGCGGCCTTGACGGCCATGTCATCGTCGCTGCCATCATCCATGGCCCATGCGGTGTGGCTAGCTCTCCGAAGCCTTAACGGAGTTTCCGAACTGGGGCCCAAAGGGGCACACCCAAATGGTAGGAATCGTTGTGTGAGCCAAATTGCCCCCAAGAATGGACCCCTAACTTTCGGAAGCTCCCAAAATACCAGCAGCCGAGTATGCCCGGCTGTGGGGACTTTAGTGTTGCGCGCGCCCGGTCGTGCAAGTAGCTGAAACTGTGATTGCTGGCAGTAGCCAGCTCTGCATGTAAGTATGGCGTAGAAGTGGGAATCCATGCCTGACTATTAGGTAGAGCTAGGATTTGGCCTAAGGTATGCTTCTGATGCATGATCAGAGATGCATATGGCTGCCTAGACTGTTTCCTTCCCGCCATGGATCCCATGAGTCTCAAGCCTTCCGAACCAGAGGCCTTGAGCTGAGACAGCAGAGGCATCTGCAAAGTCCAAGCCAGTTGTTGCAACTTGTGACTCCTAAACTTCTTGGTTGTCCAAATCAAGGAAAATCCAAGTTGCAAAGCCTGTGAATGTGTGTTTGTGCTGCTCCAACGCATACGGCCGGATGCTCAGGCAGACTTTTGAATCCAAGGATGTGTTGATGAGTATCCACGGTCTAGGAAGCACCAGGACGAAAACAAGCCATGCACTTCTAACGGGGGCTGATCATTTTTCTGAATAGCGAATAGTGTGCGTCTGTCACATTGCTCTAAGAGCCCGTTTCTCCTCGCTATATCTTATCCTGTATCTTAGCCTTCTTCCCTGGACACTTGCTCACTTCAGCAACAAAACTCCCTAGGCCTACAGTGAAACCAAACTCTGCACAGTGTTGAGGGTCGTGCTGGAGATGGTCACTGTGTCCTTGAGGGACTCGGCGATCGGAATTGCCTCCGGGGCTTTGGGCTGCTAAGGTTGGCCGGTGACAGTGGGAAACGCCCAAACCTACGTGAAACTGAGTGCATGCTCTTTTGATGATCACCAGACTTGGACTCGGCATTCGAACTGAACAGCCAGTGGTTTCTGTGTCTACTGAAGCAGAGCGGGCAGTCCAGCTGGCCTGCGTGCACCGGAGATGTTGGGGATTCAGCGAGAAGATTGCGTAGGAAAGGTTACCCCCCGCATTCTTTAAGCTTGATATTTGGACGACTTGCTCCAGCTCAGGTTATCATTCGCTACCCAAGCCGCTGCGTAGTCATGCGGGGTAAAACACGACAAAGGCCAGCTCTTGAACGATAGCGTAAGCTGCAAGACTACAAGAATTTAAAGCCGCTTTCCGCGTACTTTTTTCGATTACGTCATGCCGGAATTTTAGAAATATTGCAGCTGTCATCACTAGTCTATCGAACTTTGCAGGGTCATTCCTGTTGCCACTCAGCAAGAAGCCTTTCCTTTGAAAATTCGAACCAACTTTGGTGTTGCCAAGTGATCGCCTTGGTCCCCTCCATCTCAAGTATTCATCCCTGATCACTCCAATACCTGCAAGTCATCCATCTTCGGTATTCCGATACAGAAAAAGGCTAGCACAGCTTTGAATGGAAACACCTTGGAATTCAGCCTGTTGGCCCTCAGGCATTAGTCGGCTCATATCATCTCAGTAAGATGCCTGCGTCACAAGCAGAACCCCAAAACCATCTTGCCTGACCCCATTCAATTATTGGATACTTCCCGATCCCCAAGCCATTCAAAAAACAAACGCTGCCTGAAGCTCCACACATCATGTGGAAAAGACATGGAACCTGCTATTCCAGACTTCTTTGACATTGCCTTCTCGACAGCACTGAGGACTTCTGAATAGCGCATCCCGCGGGCATGGACCTACCACACGGGAATCCGGCATGTGTAGGGATGCAGGGTTTGGGTTTCTGTCTGCATTGAAGGGCCCGGAGTTCTGTTCTAAACATGTTTCCCACACTCATGGCAACCCCGGGGCCCCTCCAAGTAGGTAAGGTTCTCATTGCACCAGGAAGTCGTGAAGGGTTCATGTAAGTGCACCAGGATGATGACCCAGGAACTTCACAAGGGTGCCGTAGGCTTGTCTGAAGGATTTGGAAATGCTGCGAAAAGCAAGTACCAGCAAAAATCTTCATCAATCTACTGCCCTAGCAGCTCTTCAACTTTGTGGCACTTCTTTCGGACTGTGCTGGCTTTGCAAGTGTAAAAGGGGTTATGGTTATGGGCCTCTTTACTCTGAGAAGTGGAGGCTCTTGATCAAGCAAGAAGCAATCATTGAAGGCGAGTGCGTTGCTCATCATAACATTTCTGGGACTTCCGGCAGGCAACTTGTGCGAGTCCTAGCTGCTCTCCATATGCCCTTGCAAAAGCTCCAAAAACCTTTGCAACATGCGCTAGCAGCAGTCAACAGTTAGACATGGAATTTCAAGTGGCTGCCCTACCCCGTGAGCGCCTTGAACGCCAACATACAGTCTTTTCAAGGCATCCCAAACAGGACTTCAGCAGACGCAGCGCTGTTGGTTCTATGCAGCCGCCCCTTTCAGGCGTCATTTTTCCTTGAGGAATCGTAGCCCCAAACTTAGCTCACGGCATCCGCCAAGATCTGCAGTGCTGTCACCTCGCCCATCCTTGGCACCAGGTTGTGTCGCATGAGCCTTGTAAGACACGTTCCTCCAGAAATGACAACTATGTATGCAAGTGGGAATCCACGCCCTTTACCATAAGCGCCTCTGTTGATACGATTTGCCATGTTTTGCCCACGATGACAAGACTCCCGCTTCCGGGCTGTGTAAGACCCTGAGAAACAGACTTCGCGGACGTCGATTTCTTTAACAGCATGCCTGGAAACAAAAGGATACTTGTATTGTATAAGGAAGAACACCAAACTTTTTGGCCCACAGGTCTACCCCAAAACAAACTACTTGAACCCGACAACACGAAACCGCTACACCTGCAGGCCCCACACAAGTTTGAAGGTCCGTGTGACTGGTCCTAAAGATTTGTGACTGGTCCTAAAGATTTGGAGGCTACAGAACAGGAGCAGCTCCGCACATGAGAGCGATTTTGACAGCCGGCGCTTTCGGTCCAACGCTGAGTGGGAATATTCCGAGACTCCTTCAGGAACTTCAGGACCATTCACACTTAGAAGCAATGTCAGAGGATCCTGCGTAGAAATGTGGTGTTCCTTGACACCCAAACTTGTGAACCTTCTGCTGGAAATTTGAGATTGCACTTGACACAGTTGCAACCGGATGGGACAAGTGCCAAGTGTGGTGGCACATCACAAGCAAGCTTTGTAGCATCCTTGAAGGCAAAGTGGCAACTGCTAGAACGCAGTAGCCGTGCTACACAGGTGAGAAGCCCCACAACCAACGGCGATCCCAGTGTGGCGACACGTTGCTGTGCCAAATCACATGATAAAATCCCAGAAGAGAAGCACAGAGTCGAGAACTCTTGCTGGCCAACCAATGATCACTGTATGTTCCGGGCTCCATTCCTAATCCTATGCCATCTGCCATAGAATTGATTCGAGCTGGTTCCCAAGCAGCTGTGGGCTCCAATCGCTGTGTACCAAGCAGGGTGGCCTGCTCCTGGTGCTGCGCACTACGAAGCTCAGTCCTGCTGGCTCGCGACTGCACTCAATGCGCAAATGGCCGCCGACTCCTTCACCCGAAAGATTCAGGTACTGCGTGTAGAACTTTTCTCTCTCTCTCTCTCTCTCTTCTCGCTCTCCTCTTTCTTACAGGGTATAGGGGAACTGCTAAAAGCCATCCTTCTTGA